CTAGACTGAAGAACAAAAGGATAGCAACTTGTCTGCTCCCCTTCCCCGATTCCCCAACACTGTTCCCCTCCCCCAATTCCCCAATAAAATCTTTGGAAAAAAAATCAAATTTATTCATATACACTAGAAATAATTGATCTGAGAATAAATTTTTAAAAACACATTTATAAGAACATCAAAATACCTAGAACAAATTTAACAAAGGAAGTACAAAACTTTGTTGAAAGAGACTAAAGACCTAAATAACTGGGAAGACATCCTCTGCTCATGGACTGGAATACTCAATATTGTTGTCAATACTTCACAAATTGATCTACAGATTCAACGTCATCCCTATCAACATTCCAAATTTATAGTGTTGGATTCAATTTACTAAAAAATTTTAAAAAACGTTTTGTATGTATGTCTGAGGAATATCAGCCATTCATTTTCTTTTTGTGTAATGTCTGTCAAATTTGTTATCAGAATAATACTATCCTTATAGAGTGAGCTGGGAAATCAATTTTAAGTGTCTGTTTAGAATTTGTATTATTTCATCCTTGTATGTTTGGTGGAATTCCCAGTGAAGACATCTAGGTCTGGAACTTTAAGGGAATGTTTTGTTTTGTTTTTGTTTTTTTAAGATTTTATTGGGGAAATGGGGGAGGGGAACAGCATTGGGGAATCAGGGAAGGGGAACAGACAAGTTGCTGTCCTTTTGTTCTTCAGTCTAGTTGTGGAGGACGCTGCTTCACTGGCCCATGTTGGTATTATCATTGCGCTCTTCCCGGGTGAGGCAGATCGGTCGCCGGCCTCAAGACAGTTGCTCACGGCGGCTCTTCGCAGCTCATACCAGTTGCCAGCCACTTACACTGGCTGCCGGCCACACACGGTAGCTTACGGAAGCCCACTGCAGCAGGGGCTGCAGCCTATGTCATCACCGGTGACTCACAGTAGCCCAGCTCCAGGTCGAGCTGTTGTTCACCATTTTAGCTGTAGAGGGCAGCGTCACTGGCCCTCATGTGGGATCCGAACCGGGGCCCTGCTGCTCAAAGCTGGCATCCCAAGCCAGCTCTTAACCAACGTGCCACTCGGCTGGCACCTAAGGGAATGTTTTAACTACAAATTCAATGCTTTAATAGACATAGAGCTATTTAGGTTTTCTATTTCTTCTCGAGTGAGCTTTGGTACAGTCTTTCAAGGAATTTGTTCCTTTAGTCTGAGTTGTTGAATCTATTGGCATAGTTACTTGTGTTCTCTGATTATCCTTTTAGCTATGATGTCATTATTCTTATTCATGATATTGTTAATTTGTCTTATTGTCTTCTTCTTATTCAATTTGGCCAGAGATTTCTGTTTTATTGATCTTCTCAAAGGTCAGCTTTTGGTTTAATTTTCTCTAGTTTTATTTTGTTTCATTGTTTTCCACTGTGATATTATTTCTAATATGTATTGTTTATTATATTGATCAAGTATCAACATTTATTATTTGATTATAAATTACATTTTTGTACTTCCTTTGGATTTCATTTGCTCTTTTTTTCCTACTTTCTTAACACATTGTTTGCGGGAAACAAGTAAACTCGTCGTATAGAGAAAAATGCCCGCTTACAAAGTGTTAAGATGAATGCTGAAGTTACTGATTTGAGATCTA